CATAGTAGATTCAGCATTAGCAATAGTAGCATTAACAATTTTAGAATAAGCATTAGCCGTAGTAGATTTAGCATTAGCAATAGTAGAATTAACAATGTTAGAATTAGGATTAGCAGAACTAGCATAAACAGTAGCAGAACTCACATGAGCAGAACCAAAGTTAACAGTAGTAAAATTAGCATTAGCATTTGTGGAATCAGCATTAGCAGAGCTAGTGTTAACAGTACAAGCATTAGCATTAGTTGTAGTATAGTTAGCATTAGCATTAGCAGCATTAACAATGTTAGAATAAGGATTAGCAGAACTAGTCTAAACATTGGCAGAGCTTGCATTAGCAGAACCTCTGTTAAAAGTAGTAAAATTAACATTATCAGAACAATATTAGCATTAGTAAAATTAGCATTAGCAGTTTGACTCCAACAGTTACAATGTTACAAAGATTTCATGCAATGATCAGCACTTCAAACATATGTTGAGGATGACTCTACTATCACACCAAATATGATCTCAATATCTGTAAAATTTACAAACTTATAAGCAGTTTGGTATTTTTCAATATCAGTTGGCTGTGGCGGCCATCTTGAATCRGTGTGTCTCCAAAAGTTAATGAGCTGTAGCTGTTCATTTAATGATTGTTTCCTGAAAGTTTCAATAAAATCCATCCAGCTGTTCATGAGATATTTTGCTAACAGACCAGTAAAAACATCAGCCTTGCCAGTCTGTCGGTCCTAAAAGCAGCAGGATCAGATGTCGTCTTGTGGTGATCAGGTTCTCAGAGGACAGAGGACAGTGGGAGAACTGTTTCAGGTCATTAAGGATGCAGATCTGACTGCTCTCAGCCGGACTCGGGGGCTCAGGATCCAGACTCTCAACTGTCTCTGCTGAAAATTGGATTTTTATCCCCTGAGATTAAGATCAGCGCCGCCCCCCCYCAGGACCTGCTCCTCCGAGGCTCTGTTAAAAAAACAACCCACCAGGAGGAGCTCCCCSTCTCCTCTGTGACCTTTGACCTACGGGGACCGGCCGTAAAGCTGATCCCACCCCGGCTCGGGTTTCCCCCCAGGTGTCTGTCAGACAGGCCCCTCCCACTACAGGTGTCACCCCTCCTCTTCCTCCCATGCCTGGAGCAAGTCAGCACCGAGGAGGACAAAGGAGCGTCTGTCTCCGGTGGGACGAGCGCGGACCCTCGGGCCGTGTTTCACGAACACGATGACACTCAGAATCAATGTGGTCCGCGGCGTGAGAACAGCTGTCAACACGCCATCTGACACCGGTACCAGCAGAACCGCTCCGGGTTTTACACAGAAACACTCGTCTATGACATCACCTGAAACTCTGAACTCTGTTTACAAATATTCTGTCTGTCTGTGGTTTTAGTTGTGTTAGCAAAATATTTCACGAACCACTGGACAGATTTTAGACAGAAGTTAATCGTTGGATCATTTAACAGCTAACAGGCTAAAATCTGGTGTTTAATAGCAAAATATAAATCCTTTCTTTTTTCCAAAATCTGTTTCAACATACTTTAGGTATACCTAGTGCTAATGCTAGTTCTGCTAATGCTAATACTGCTATTGCTAATACTAATGCTGTGACTGCTAACGCTAATCGTAATCCACTTCTGCTAGTTAAGCTCATATATATATAATGCTGCTATTGCTAATACTAATGCTATGACTGCTAATTCTAATCTTAATCCTACTGCTAATTTTACTTCTGTTGATGTTAATGTTGTTTACCTAATTTCCCTCTGGGACCAATAAAGTATTTTTGAATTGAATTGAATTAATGCTAACGCTTGTTCTGCTCATGCTAAGGCTAGTTCTGCTATCGCTAATCTTAATCCTACTACTGTTAATGATAGTTCTGGTACTGCTAAAATCGATTTTGCTAATGCTAATGCTATTTCTACTCATGCTAACGCTGCTTCCGCTAATGCTAATCTTAATTTCATTGCTGCTAATGCTATTTCTGCAGATGTTATTGATGCTAATGCTTGTTCTGCTCGTGTTAATGCCGCTTATGCTAATCTTAATTCCTCTATTGCTAATGCTGGTTCTACTCTTGCTAATGCTGCTATTGCTAATACTAATGCTGTGACTGCTAATGCTAATTGTAATCCACTACTGCTAATTTTACTTCTGTTGATGTTAATGTTGTTTACCTAACTTCCCTCTGGGAT